ACAGTATATACGGCATACTATACACTGGACATGGTCTTTACTGTATGCCACAGTATATACGGCATACTATACACTGGACATGGTCTTTACTGTACACCACAGTATATATGGTATACTATGTTTGTATATTGCATATATTATAAATCATAGCACATGCAGTATATTATATACTGTCTGTAGTCTACATTGTATAAAAGTATACGGTACATCACAGTATATAAGGTACACTGTATACTGTACATAGTATTTACTATATACCACAGTATATATGGTATACTGTATTTCCATACTGTTTATATTACAAATCATAGCATATACAATATATTCTATACTGTCTATAGTATATGTTGTATGCAAGTGTACTGTACACCACAGTATATATGGTACACCATACACTGTACATAGTATTTACTGTATACCACAGTATATATGGTCTACTGTATTTGTATATTGCATATGTTATAAACAATAGGATATGCAGTATATCATACTGTCTATGGTATACATTGTATCAGTATATACAGTATACTATAGAGTGTATATATATTCTATACCTCAGTATATATGGTATATTTGTATATTGCATATGTTATAAACCATAGCATACGCAGTATATTATATACTGTCTATGGTATACACTGTATAAAAGTATACTGTATACTACAGTATGTTATATACTGTGTAGAGCATATACCATATACTATAGTATATATGGTATACTATATACTGTATATAGTATTGATTGGATATCACAGCATATATACTATGTATAGTATACATTGTATAAAATTATACCCTAGCATATTATGTACTATATATAGTATGTACTGTATACCACAGTATATACAGTATACTATATAGTACATATAGTATATATTCTATACCACAGTATATATGGTATACTGTATATTATAGTATATGCTGTACAAAAGTATACTGTATAGTATATACTGTATGAAAGTATACTGTATACCATACTGTATGCTGCATAAAGTGTACTATATATAGATATCTACATATATGCCATATAGATATCATTATGCATGTGGTATACAAGAAAAAGAAGTTTTACCTTTTAACTACACACTCCCTGCAGTGCTTTTATTTTACTAATGGGATTAAGAAAATAAAACATAAAATTATAGGTCCTAATGCCATGAGTTTTCTTATGTGTTCATTTATAAGCATTAGTATATTTAAAAATAAACGTTTTATCTCTTCTTTTTAAAATCTTGGCTTCAGTGTAGCACCTCATGTTTCTTTTATTAGAGTCTTCTGGAATAAATTTTTGAAAAAATTCCTATTTAATTGGAATCTGCCATGGGAACATTTGTCATCGATTTTTATTGTTCTAAAAGCGAGGAAAGGTGGTGAGAATTCCTACTATTTTTCCATTGATCTGATTTCACTGAATTGGGTCTATTAGCTGTGTGGACCTTTTATTAAGCAGAGGGCATCGAGGAAAGAGAGTGTTCTGTTCATGTTGGATGTTGGGCTATTTTTGATGAAATTCGGTGTGCATCTGGAAGGTAAAGAAACACATTTATTTTGTTCTCAAAGAATAGAGCAGAGGATTTTGAAAATCCAGATAAGTAAGCTTTAGCCTGATACAATCTATCTATTAAAGTTCTTGGAGATGCACAGTCAGAAGCCTTAACCCGAGATGAACTCACAGAGCTCACTCATTTTCCTTGTCAAACACACCAAAGACAGCAAGACCTCTAAGTGGGATATCAGTGTCTTGCTTTTTTAAACTTGACTTCCGCAGGCAACATGTTTTAATTTCCATTAGTAAAATCAAAGATCATAATGATTAAGGACAGAAGGAAACGGAGGTATCTTCTCTCCCTAGTAAAGACCTCAATGCGTATCTGCATCTACATTTCCCGGCACCTGAAACACACAATTTTCACCTGTTGTAATTGGAGACATCATTTTGGCAGAGAATAGTCAAGTGCATTTCTAAGCTCTTGTGATCCATTTTATTTGCTAGAGATAGGTAATACGATTTTTAAAAAAATATCAGTAAGCCCTCTGAGAGGCTCTTTTTGATGGTATAAGGTCCTTCTTACACCTAACGTAATGTAGTAGCTGATTATTTGTTACTACACCTCTAAGAACACTACCCTGTGCACCAAGAAAATGAGTTCGATGACACATCTCCACCTACACACCAGGTAGAGATGTTCATTCATTCAGCTTAAAATACGTTTTGGCAGGAAAGGTCATTTTAAGACCAGACATAGGCCGCAGCTCTCCCTAAGCCATCCACCCTAAGCACCTTTTGTATAAAATTGTATAAAGTTATACCCTGTTTATATTACAAATCATAGCATATACAATATATCCTATACTGTCTATAGACGTATACTTTTTCGCAAAGGTTGAATACAAATTCATCACAGCATAACCAACACAATCGAGAGTCATGGCCTCTGATGCAGACCTACATCAATGTCCTGAGAACAAATCAAAAAATGGAAATCTGTGTTGGTTGCTTTGGCCGTCTCAGAACTATGTTTCCCTTCTCTCAACTCTGATACCATTTAAGGAAGCCCTTTGATGGACAAGGCATCGTTTGGTTTTGTGGAAAGTGCTATTAGTTGCAACGTGTTCTAGAGAGATTGAGACTTCCTCGGTGTTCCCTTTATTAGCACTTCTTCCTGCAAAGAGCTCAAACCAAATTGGTGTTTGGTCCATGAGCACCTGGATTCTATGGGCCAGTCGGGTCTCGTATTCCCAAAGGGATTTTAGATGACACAGATTTCAGTTCTTCCTCATCCTCTGTAAACCCTGGAATTCATTTTAGTTTTTCCTTGACCTTACTTCTCTTTAATCAAAACTTTCCACGTCAGCTTTATTTGTAGACTAGTATATGTTTTGGCCTATGTTGTTGTTTTTCCAGCACTGTTTTGGGTGTGTCTTCTAACCTGGGTCACGGAAACACCCTCCTCGCTAGAAGGAAACTCTCCTCTCTCCTTCCTCTCTGCCTCCTACAAGCATATTCCCAACATCACTTTCCCATGCTTAACAACAAACAAACCATGGGATATAGACATCAAAACCTAGACAGAAGGTCACACCCATGAGTCTGGGGTTGTACAAGAAGAAGCACCGGCGTACATTCGCCTTGCCTGACGTATGAGCAATAAGGAACACCACCGTGCTGTCCGTAAGGTGCAGAAGATTGGAAGCAACACCAAATGATCATGGGGATGCGTGTCTTGACGCCATATATTCCTGTTCCCGTAGCAATGTGTTGTGATGGACAGATGGCGAGATACTCCTATAATCCGGTCTCTCTAGTGCTTACAGGGAGCAGCTGATGGTACTCTGTCTTCTATCATGGTCTGTGGGTCATGGCCTGAGTCCCGTGGCATCGGATATGGTTTATCCTACGCTGTTCCCTTATGGGCACCATTTTGGCTCATCTTCCTTTGTACCCCTCAAGCAGCCCCCTGGGGACAAGGAAATACTCCTCTCCGCAGACCTTGGTGTACCACCACCCTATTTAAATAAATAACCAGCAACTACCTCTTAAGACCTTGCCACATATTGACAAGTACCTAAATCAGCAGACCGCGCATCTCCTCGATCCTCTGTTTTCTTGTTAAACCAGCGGCTATGGAAATGTTATCCCCTAGTTACTTACACTGGAAAACGGCGCCTTGCATTTCACATTAGAGGAAATTCACATCCCTCCAGTTTCTGCATCTGCATCCCATGGCAACCTCCCTATGGGTCTCTGTCTTTAGATGGCCATCTTCTTATGAAGGCATCGTTCATATTGGCTTAGAAGTCCAACTTGCTCCATCTTGACTGATTCTATCTGCAGTGACCCTATTTCCAAATAAGGTGCTAGGCACGGAGACTTGAAATTCCGGAACCAGCATCCAATAGAATCTTAGGCACGGTGGGCATGAAAAAGCACCCAATAAGAGAATGTCGTGGTATTTTTAATCCTGGCTCAGTCTTTGATAGGTCTTGGTGAAAGGGTCCGTTTGGTGCTAGGAGCTCTTTCCCATCTTGTGACATTGATTAATTTCCTTTATCTTTTTTTTCTTTCTTTTTTAAACAGCGCGAGAGCATCAGCCTCAGAGCCTTTAGCAAGGTGAGAGGAGCTAATGAGAATTTAATAGCTTTGTTTGGATTTTACCATTTTTTTAATGGTTCAGTTACACTGGTGATGAATGATCCTAGCTTCCCATTTAAGAAAATCTTATGAAGCTCATTTCCAAACATGTAAGGGAAAAAAGTATGTGGTTTTAGCTAAGGTAAGCAACGATGGTGTGTTTAGATATTACATGAAGAATGCTATGTGTGGATGCCGGTGTTAGTGAACGGACGTGACTGCCATTTGGGAAATGGCCTTGTGAGTCTTTCTGCTTCAAGAAGGTGACACTTTGCTAGGAGAGGCATCACACATCTGAGTTCAATGACAAAACTGGGCATTGTCGTGCCTTCAAAAGGGCTGATGGGTTGAAGTGTTCCCCCCTCAAATTAATATAGGCTGAAGTGCTAACCCCCAGTCCTTATTTGGAAATAGGGTCATTGCAGATGGAATCAGTCAAGATAAGATGGAGCTGGTTGGACTACTAAAGCCAATATGACCAATGCCTTGATAAGAAGATGGCCATCTAAAGACAGAGAGACACATGGGGAGCCTGCCGCGGGATGCAGAGGCAGAAGTTGGAGGGATGTTCCTGGAAGACAGCCTGCAAAACAGCAAGAACTAGGAAGGAGCATGAAACCTTTTCCCTTGCAGGTTTTAGAGGGAGCTTGGTTCTTACCAACGCCTGCATTTTGGACTTCTAGCATCCAAACTGTGAGACAATAAGTTTTTGTGGTTTTAATGCACACCATTCATGGTACACAGTTACAGCACCCCTAAGGATGTTATAATAATATAATAAACAAGGAGTACATTAAAATACTTGTGGACTTGACCTCTGTCATCTCCTTGTCGAAGAAAGAACCTTCAGGTGATAGGCAAGCACCTCTCCCAAACGTCCGTACATTCTCCTGTCCCCGCCACCGCCTCCATGAGAGCCTTTCTTAGACCAAACTTGTCGAATCTGAGTTCAAAGTGGGTATCGATGCAATAGCTTGCCACTCTATAAGCACGCCATACTTTTGCTGAGACCACAAAATATTCTGAAGCCACTTGCCACCCAATAATATTTGGGGTCATTGTAAAGAATGACACCCGCTAAAGCCCTAAGTAAGCACGCAAACCCGCGGCATCCCCACATTCTCTCTCTTGAGGTGCGTAGGACTCAGGCACCGCAGGGCTGCCCCCGGATGGGAGCCCAATTCCGACACCCGGCTCGCCACGGGGAGATTCGCCAACCTTCGGAGCGCATCTCCGATGTTAATTCCGTGCATGAGGCTCAAGGTTAATGAGAGAACCAGAGACGCAGGTAGAACAGAATGATAGCTCATTAACTTCCACAATTATGGTATGAGGCAAGAGAAAAATGAAAAGATGCTGTGATGTTTGTAGCTATTTGGAATGTTGGGGAGTCTTTTTCTCTTATTGTTTGCAGAGTCGCTACTCAGGAGGACATTGGCGACATCTGTTATATGTGTGGGTCTTGTATATTTTCCACTAGGTTTGGCCAACGAACCTCCCTTTGAGGTGTATCATATATATTTATGTAGATTTATTTCCTATATATGCACATATATGCATATATGAAATGTGTATTTATTTGTGAAATAAACGTGTGTGACATAGTTACACGAATAAATATGTTGTAAATATATGTATCTATAGGAAACAAATCTCCTAACTGTAGAGAAACACTATACATGTATATAATACATATACGTGCGTTAATAGAGAGTATATATACACATAGTATTTTCTAGATGTGTTATGGGATTGACTTTATTCTCTTGGCTATAGAATAAATACAATTTGCCATGTGGCACATGGGTTTTGATAACCCTATTATTTATCAAAGGAGACTTGAAATTCTGGGATCAGCATCCCGTAGAATTGCCATGTATGTTGAACCGGCAAGTGGCAAACAGACTTTTTTAGTAATGCAATTAGCACTCTGCACTCTGGTAAAACTGTGGTCGACACGACGCAATTGGGGGGTGTTCAAACAACGAGGCCCCCCTCCGTTACCGTGTGTGCATGCGTGTGCATGTCTGCATCCTATGTACCATTCGGTCATGGAAACAAGACTTGTATGGAGGAACCAGACAGAGCAGAAGAGAAGTAAGAAGCCGGTGTGGGAAGGACATACCCGGTTTTGGCGAAGTTGGTCCAGTATGTCATGACCACCGCGCTGAGCATGACATCGTTCTTGGAGAAGTTACAACTGAAGAGTTCCGTGGGGCCGATCATGGGGATCCCAAAGACATAGGGCACTTCGTCGCCGTGGGCTGAGTCCGCCCAGCTGGGTTTCATTTCACTTTGGCAGTGGTGATAGAAGGCGTAGAAGTAGGTCGGAGAGCCGTACTGGGCGTGGAGGTCGGCTGTGGCCACGGCGGGGGCCACCCACTGGTGGTCCGTGAAGAGAGCCACCAGGGTCTTCCGTCGCGTCTCCGGGTTTTCCTTGTCGGCCCAGTCCGTGTACATGAATTTGATGGTCTCCCGCAACGTGTCTTTGCCCTCTGGGTAGCCATAAAGGTTGTCCACGAAGTTGGACACGGAGAAGTCAAAGTCGTTGGGCGTCACGCCGTCCTCACTGTCCACGATACCATCCACGAACTTCAAGCCTTCCCCCTGGTTGACGCCCAGCATGATGTCGTAGTTCAGGAACTCTCCCTGCTCCATCAGGATCTGAGGGTCGTCCGGGATGACATCGCCGTCGATGACGGGGCCAAAGGAAATGTGGTACGTGGCGGGGGTGATGGTCTGCTGAATGAGCTCTTTGTAGTTCTTATTCCGAAGACATTCGACCATGTCTGTGGTATCCAGCATGTTGCAGCCGACTTTATCTGCCAATATCCGAGTGTACTTGGCAGGCTGGTAGTTCACTGCCCAGCTGGACAGGGCGGTCCCGCTCTGGATGATCGCCTTCTGGAACAGACCTGCAGGTGCAAAGTTGTAGACATGCAAATGAAAACCCGAAAGATAGAAAAGCAGCTTTTACTGGGCAAAGAAGGCTCTGATTGTCTCTCGGGCATGTGAATTTCTGGATACAGTGGCATTCAGGTCTTTCAGGATTTTTTACTCATTTCCATCTCTTTCTGTCCCCCTCCCCCTCCTGCTGGACATTGGTTTTCTGGGATGTTCTTCACTCACTCACACACACACACACACACACACACACACACACACAGAGGGTCTCAGAGAATGAAACTGCATTCACAATTTAGCTGCAGTGGTTAAAAAAAAAAAAAAAGGTGCACTCCATTTACCCTTCCCCAATTCCACGTCGTGTTGGCATCCCCATGCCCAGATGCTATAAATAAAGCCTCACAGAGTTATCACCTCTCCCATATCCCTTAAAAATATGCTCTATGCCAAGAAGACGTCAAAGACCGCTATGCCTCACTGGTAAACCAGAAACTAGGTTCCACTTCATTATCGGGGGAAAAAAAAAAAAAACTTCCACGGAAATCAATTTTAGAGTGTGTATGTCTATTTCCACCCTCAATATATTAAATGCATGAAACTTTTACAACTAAAATATTAATTAAATTAGCGATTCCTAAAGGAATCCTCAGTTGACGGCCCAACTAAAATGTATTTTTCAACAAATCGCTGATCTTGAAATTGCATCAATCCAAAGCCCAGACTTTTCTGTCATGGATTCTGCTACACGTTAGAAGTGTGTGTTTGGTGAGAAGTGGAAAAAATAAAAATTGGGCTATTGGATGAGTAAAATTCTATGTAGCTTACAATTTCCTATCAGATCAGTCTAGTATATGAATGTCAGTAAGTAAAAAAAAAAAAAATTCTTTTTAAACCCTCTATTTTTCACAACTACAGGACAAGAGATGATGGGGTATGAAATGATAGCATTCTGTTTCTTATCTCTTCCTGACATTTTCTTGGATTCCAGCATGATCTAGCTTTGATGGGTTGGGAGTTGCTGGAAGAATAATTCAGCTGGGAGCCCAGAAGTTTGTGCCCCATAGAGTTTTAAGGTCATGCAAGCAATCAAGGGAGGAAAACATGATCGCAATCAGGAAGATGCGATTCTAAAGACTGGAGCGTTGCCCAAAGATGACACCCAAGAGGAGATTTTTAAATGGATCTGGCTTTGCTCAATTCAACATCAAAGTTATTTGGGGGCCAGTTTCCCACAGGTGGTAACACTCTCAGAGATGCACAACTACGGACTTGCATGTTTAGCTCTCAGGATTAATGTGTGGAAGCCCGGGAAAGAAATGATGTTGATGCTTGATCCATTGTGAAGGCTTTCATAAGTGAAAAAAAATCAGGATTAGAAGAATTTTGCTACAAGTTACCTGGTTTGTTCTTTTTTTTTTTTTTTTTCTTTTTCCTATTAACACTGATCGGCCATGACTGATGTAGCTCTGTGTGTGTGTGCGTGTGTTTGTTACAGAATCTAATCCCTGATAAACCTTGAAAAAATGGATCAAGAAAAATGCCACCCATAATTCTTACCAGAAAATACAAGTTACATCAGCATTTTGGGGTCACGCCCACTTGGCTGTTTCCCTCTCAATGTTTCATTTGTAACACTGGAGTCCACTATACGTTTAGCTTTGACATTGTGTTTCCCAGGCTTTTGGATACCTGTTTTTGGTGCTAATTATTGTTCTTTTGAGAAAATGCACCTGTTCCTTGTAAACTTCTCGTCTTTTGAATCTTGGAGCTTTCGTTTGAGTCTTTGCTATAATATCGTGGTGAACATCTTCACAAAAGCATCATTTTCCATGCATGCGGTGATCGGTTTTTGTTTTTTTTGTGTTTTTTTTTTTTTGGACAGAGAGAGACACAGCGAGAGAGGGAACACAAGTAGGGGGAGTGGGAGAGGGAGAAGCAGGCTTCCTGTGGAGCAGGGAGCCCCATGCGGGGCTCGATCCCAGGACCCTGGGATCATGACCCGAGCCGAAGGCAGACGCTTAACGACTGAGCCACCCAGGCACCCCCTGGTGATCGGTTTTTAGTCTACATGGCTAGAAGTACAATTCTAAGGCCGACGGTCTGGGTATTTATATATTGCTGGGTGGTTTCGAAAAGCTATCTTGCAGAGACATGACCCATGCACAGCCTTGCCACAGAGCTCGCTCATTTCCCATCTGACGATTTAAGTAATTCATGCTCTTCCTCCAATTAGATTTGGTTTACTGTGTTTGATTCCTACGGAAGCCAGTCCTGACTACTTGCTCACTCGAGAACTGGGGTTATATCCACTGACAAATGGGAAAGTCTAAATATTTTCTGGAATGCTGTAGGAATGGATATTGCCAATGACTCCTCTCGTTAGTCACTATTTCATTTTTGTAAAAACAAAGGGTTAATATAAGTGTGAGCCCCTAATTCAAGCTCTCCCTAAGGTTACAAAATCACCAAAATCTTGTCAGCCTTGATTTGACTGATGGTTGCTTGTGGTTCTTGCACGGAGCATCTTACTGACAGGCGAATTCTGAATCTCCTCACCACGTTGAAAACCCTCTTGTCACTTCGGTGCCTGTGACCAGCTAAAATGTCTTCTCCAGCCGACCATTTTTATTTCCTAAGGCCTGCCGAATACCTTCAGAGGAAGTCTGAAGTTCAGGATGGAAAATCAAAGGGGAAAAGCAGTTGGTACGTAAAACAGCAACGAGGAGACGCCATCGGGAATTGGCACAGATGTTCATGAATCTGTAAGCCAGACTATTCTGTGCAGAAGATCAAGACTACCATCCACTCTTCCCCGCTGTTACATGGCTAAAGGGGAACGATGGCAATAGGTTTGAATCGGGGTCTGGGAAGCTTGGTTTCTTCTCTGGCTCTGACTCTTGCTGTGTGACCCAAAGTGGGTTATGCGACCTCTCTGAGCCTTTCTATAAATGATGCTTTTGGAGTAGATGAGCTTCAAGGTCCCCTTCAGTGCTACAGGTCACCAATGGACATGAGGGAGCCACCCTGAGTTAGAGTGGGTCATTTTTTTTTAATTTAATGTAATTTTTTTTTTTTTTTAGCAGTGGTGGGGGAGAGGCCGAGGGGGAGGGAGGGAGACACTCGTAAGTCGTCTGCATGCCCAGTATGGAGCCCGATGCAGGGCTCGATCCCAGGACCCTGAGACCATGACCTGAGCTGAGATCAGGAGCGGGACTCTTAACGGACTGAGCCACCCGGGTGCCCCAGACAAGCGAGTTTTAAAATCACATGGCCATGAGCCACGTCGCTTACCGAATGTACAAATCTGCAACCCTTACCCACATCACTGTTTCTCTTCTGTATTACCTTTCCCAAGTTGAGATGACAAGTTGACCGAAACGAAAAAATTTAAAATTGACCGAATAAAGCCGGAAAGGCAGAAGCAAAGTGCTGGTCTTTCTAAAGAAGTCATTTTGTCCCAATTGTCGCAACCAGCACCTAATTGTTAATTTAAGTGAGATGACAAAATACGGTTCATGTGGAAAGAAAGTGGAATTAGAAGAAAGGGAGTCTGTGTCCTTTCGGGGATTTTTGGTGGAGGCTGCAAGAGAGACTTAGGGCAACACGAGCACCCAGCACCTGGGATATGCACTCTGTGTGTGTTCATTTCTCAGCCCTGCGGGTCGTGCCCCAGCGCGGGGATGCCCTACTTACCTTCTGAATAGTGTGACAAGGTCAACAGGCTGACGCAAGAGGCTCCCGCCCCCGAGCCGAAGATGGTCACTCGCTTGGGATCCCCGCCGAAGGCCCCGACGTTCTCCTCAATCCACCGTAGCGCCTGGATCTGATCCAGGAGCCCATAGTTGCCTTTGGCCGCCTGGTCGCCGGTACTTAAAAACCCTGCAAGAGAACACAGGATATTTGGGGTTGTCAACTCTAAAAAAGCACATCGCTGGTCCTTGAAAAGGTATCTCTTGGTCTACCTTGTTCATTCTTTGCTCGTCTCCCTGTAAGTGAGAAGCACCACCGGAGAGCATTTTTCAAGGCAGGATGGATTATGTTATGTAAATCATTGTTATAAAGGTTACTGTTCCTGCTGATCCTGTGATACAATGTCTCATCTGTGAGTTTGTGCGGGGCTACCCTACCCGATCAGGCACAATCAGTCTAAATTATCAATACCATGTGACAATACCAGAGACTATAAATTTGACCAGATTCGACTTATCATTCCAGTGCACATGTTGGTTGCAAAGTGGCAAAGTTTCCTAAGAGAAGTTTTTCAGGGAAAGATCAGTGCATGTGTTGGGCTGGGGGGATTTCTATGTTGATGTTTAAGAGACCGTGCATGTATATAAAGGCAATATGGATCAGCTTTCTCCCATTGAATTTGTTATCAATATTTTCATTTAATTCCTTTTAACGCTTCAAAGTAAGTGACAGACATCACGAGATCCCAGTGTTACTTAGCATGCACTTCTATCTTTGCCCTACAGAACAAATATTAGTGTCACACACAGAAATAAGTCTTTAATCCTGGTCAAATGACAATACATATTCAAATCACTCCAACTGTCCCCGAAATGGGATGAGCTGGTACGTTTTATTTCAAGAAGAAGGAAGATTCTGTAACTTGAGGAACTAATTTCACTCAAGGCATGAAATTGCTAATTCCCCCTTAGAACCTGCAAATAAGGCATTTATGGAAGTCAAGTGATCACATGGACTTGGACTCCTTGCCTGTTGCGCACGACAGAAAGATCCTGACCTGGAAAAAAAGGCTTCCGTCTCATGTCTGAAGTCAACAGATACTCTCCTGCTGAAATTCAAAACTATGATTATTTGGTAAAGCACCTGCCAAGGTTGATTGATTGCACAAACATTAACCCAACTTTTTATCCCTTTCTTTCTTGCATAAGCCTTCTGACCAAAAAAAAAAAAAGAAAGAAAGAAAGAAAAGAGAATGCAAGTCATAGAAAGTTTTTTTTTTAACCATTTTACTTTGTTATTTGTTCCTGCCCCCAAACACCCAATTATGATATCTCCCTCTTCCGTTGCATTTCCAAGGGCCATGCCGCCATTCACCTCATTTCAATTAGTGCGTATTAAGTTCCTGTGACCACCCGGCTGCAGTGTTGATGTGAACGTGGACTGATTCGGGCCCGGCACTAACAGGAATCAGAACTCGAGGCCATCAAACCTCCTCTCTAACCAAAGCTGACAGCAAATCTAAGGAGCTCCCCGAGCGCCGGCTTCTAAAACCTAAAACAAAGTCAGTAGAGGATGAAGGCTTGTACCCACTGAGGAGGCGAGGCTTCGTTCCACGGGCACCTGAGAAAAATGCACGGTGTGAGCTGGGGAGGGGGCGGGTATCAGAAATGAATGGGTCCAGTTTAAAATAAAGCAACGGGAAGGCTTTTGGGGGGGTGGGGGTTTCTAAAATTGCAACAATTGGACTCACAATCTCCTGTATCTGCAAACAGAGGCAGGATGAAACCTGCAAGGTTGTGCATTTAGGGCACGTCCCGCAGACCCAGGCTTCTCCGGCGTTCACAGGGATTGAGCTGAGATTAGCAGTGATTAGTGGGAATGTTCAGACGTTACCAACCCCTCCCTCATTTAATTAGCAATTACTAATTAGCGTTTCATGCCAGCGAATGTTCCCTGGCTCTGGCATTCATCATGCAACCTTTTACACAGTTTCTCATAAAATGCATTGCGCTCTGCTTGGGAGAAAAGCCCCTTTCACGCAGCTTTATGTATGAAACCCGCTCCTAATGGCAGTTTGGGTGCCGTATAATAACCATAAGACAAGCCTCTCTTTCCCCATTAAGGAAAGAGGTGATTAATTCCTAAAGCCTCTAGTAATTTTTTGGCAGAACGGCTCTGTCTTTAACACCTCCTTCCTCCACCGCCTCTCCCTCCCCCCACCCCCTCTGTCAACTCTCCCAGAATGACCTATTTGCTTATTTTGTTTCCGCAGAGCACCGTGAGGATTTGCAACATACGGTAAATCACCAGCCTTTACTAAACTGGAGCCCCTCCCGAGCAAAACGTGTCTCTTGTAACCTTTCAAATGCCAGGCTAATTAATATTCTATACCCTGGAAAATCTTAGCTTTCCTAACAGCCTCCTATTGAAAGGTTGGATCTTTGCGATTCTGAATTCCTTCCAAAAGTCCTGAGGGAAACAGCTCCTCCATGCATCTCTGAAGTTCAGCAAATGAACGTGGGTTTTTTGTTTTTGTTTTGTTTTTTTTTTTGAAGTTGGTGTTTCCATAGTTTCTGCCACAAAATCTTCATTTACTGCAACACCCAGGGGCTTCCCCGCCCCCCCCCTTGTAATTTAAACAATCCACAAGGCAGGGTTTCCATTGCAGGCACACAATGAATGCAAGCAATTTTATTTTCTCTGCAAGAGTGCATTCCTTTGCTATTCTGATCGTGAAAATGCGGTGTTTGATATAATCCAGATATGAGATGTATCTGCATTTACTATCATGGAATTCTATGAACGTGAGAGCAAGATAATCAATTTGGAAACAGCCAGGCACGTCACCAAAGCTGAGTGCTGGTAGAAGCATCCTAAGAAGTCTGTCCCACCGCGGAGGACTTAACTCCCCATATATGCTGCCGATGAATTAACAGAAGCGGCCCCTTGGCTGGCTAAAACCAGAGATTTTAAACAAACGGCTTCTTTCACTGATAAGCACTCTTGGCTGCAGATCCTTCAAGCATTTCAGCTGATGAAACATTTGGCTTTTGAGATTTAAGGTCTCTGTAATGAAGGTTGTAAATCAGTCAGCCCCTCCACCCCACACCAGCAATGGAACAATGGGAGAGAGATACAAAACAGAAACTGGAATTCACACATACTGTCACTACATTGATACCAAGTTTCATTCAAAGCACTGGAAGGAACAACAACATATACATTCACACAAGAGACAGCTGGTTTATCCATGAGAAATACCTGAACACCCGAAATCACATTTCCCCCCCTGCATGCTGAATGAAATTCAACATCATATAAAAACGAGGCACTGTATTTGGTCTTCTCACCGGTACTAGAATAGGAAGTTTCAGGCTTTTATGATAGGTTATCACAATCTAAATGTTCTCATTCTTGTGAATTGCACCAAAGGGGTCAGGAGAATGATTCCAGGTCACATGGCTGTCCGTGCACTGCAGGTCAATGGTTAGAAGCCCGATGTGTCAGATGGGGCTGCCCTTTTGTTCATTTGTAATAGGACTTTAAAGCTACAATCCCATTTTATTTTAGGAGATGATTCATTACATAAGCAGAGCAGACCTTTTTTTGGGCGACCATTAACCACAAGATAAGTGCTAAATGTATAAAGAATGATATATTTTATATTTTCAGGGTGTGCATTCACCTGTAATTGCTAGAATTCGAGTCTCAACTATTTCTAAAGGCATTTCTGAAATACAGTTGAGACTAAATTAATTCTTATTAATTGCATATATACACACATGTGCCTACACATATAGACATATTTCTGTAACATATGTAGAATGTATCCGTACAAAGAGGTCCTTCTGTGACCTTTACATATATGCACACACATATATGTAAGTACGTGATATATACATATACATAGATACACAGCAGCCTGAGGATTAGCAAATCACTAGTTCTTATTAAATCATAACACCTCATTCCTATATGTGTGTGCACACACACTTAATTTAATGGCGTAAAAGCAAAAAGGAATGTTTGCATAAAAATTCTCCGGTGAGAAGAGATAGAATTCATTTTAGATCACACAAATGAGCCCAGAAAAAAATGTGTAGTAAGAATGAGCAGAGGTATAAAGATGAAAGTCAGCCAAAGACATGCAAATCTATCTTCTCTGATGTTTACAGGAAGTCCTTCACTGGGTGCATTTATTACAACTTGAAAGTTAAGTTTTCTTAGTGGAATCGTGTATGATTTGATGAAAGGGTCTACATCTGTGGGTGGAAGGGAAGGGAAGATATAAACTCCAATTCTCTGAGCCTGATGGGGGAAAGCTCTTGAAATTTAGTGTCTCTATTTGTAGTTTTTAGTTTACTTACAGATGACATGAGTCATAACCTACTGTATTTAACTATCACATCAATGTCATACAGGGTCAAAATCTATTTCCAATGTCAGTAGAATAAATCTAAGACAGTTATGAGGACAGTTGATTTCCATGCACACGTTTCCAAACACAGGGCCTGTTAAGTTGTTAATGGGATTCCTTACATCAGTTCCATAAAGCCTATTATATTCCCCCACAGTAATTGAGAACGAGGCTGCACAAGTGTTTTTAAAGTACTTCAGCTGAAATTATATTAACTCACACACTAAAACCAAAGTTATATTCTGGAAACAAAATACAAAATAATAAACACAGTTTTGTTTATTACACAATAGAGATCAAAACGTGAAGGTCATTGGTTAATAAGTTTCACAGAGATGAAATTTTGTCAGTGGCCGGTCTGGAACCAAATCCCCCGTGAGTCAACTATAGATGCGTTTCCATTCGAAACCCCATACTAGAACATTGCTCTAGATTTGTGGGACTTCCTTTCAATTGGCCGTCAAATCTTTTTGCTTTTATTTCTGAAACAGCTCATACACCTTGTTCCTGGGCTGGGTCTGCACCCCAGTGCCTGAGACAGGACGTCCAGTTGAGTCCTCCATCCTGGCTGCCCATTTCCATACCGTGAAGATAACCCTAAAACCCTTAGATCCTGAAGATCTATTTCTATTAAAAAGACAAACAAACAACAAAACAACAACTTCATTTGAATGCACAGAGGTAGCCAGCCACCCAAGGATCAATTCCTATTGATGGTAATTTTGAAAATAAGGGATGAGAGCTGAATGTCAGTGTTCATGAATAAAAGTTA